AAAAAAAAAAAAGAGATTTTTTTTTTTTTTTTTCAATCAGATTTTTTTAAATTTAATAGTCTTTTTAAATGTTTTTTGTTAAGATGCTTTTAAAAAAAACCTACATAAAGATAACTTTAATATAACACCTGTTAAAGTACAAAGATATCATCATGGAACACGGATTATAACTTCCAATTATATACTATTTGAAACAACATATTCATGTAACCTTTTTAGAAAAGTTTTATAAATAGGTCACACAGGCCATGGACTATATTAGGGGTCCAATCTTATGGGGTTCCCAGAGGCTACTTTATGAATTAGTAAAGATTAAAGAAAACCACTCTGCCCAATGGGAATCAGTGCTCAGCCTAGAAGATCTCATTAAGCATCTCTGTGATGCTTAGTTTCAGTTCTCAAACTGTGGATTTGTGTCTTCAGAGATAACATCCTTGTTAACAGCAGTATAGGGAGATGAGAGATAATAGACCTGATTACCTACCCATCAGCCCAACTGCCTCTGCAAGTTTGTGTACACACAGTCAAGTCCTTACCTTTCTCTAAAAGTGTAACGTTTCAAGTTAAATAAATAAAGGATAACACACAAGACACACTTTTTGTAGAAAACAATGATTAAACCGAGGCTTCCTGACTAGCAATTTAAATTGTGATTTGTTTTAAATCAAATCCACCCTGGCCACAGTTGATTTGAAAGCATTGGCTTGGGAAATTCCCCTCAAGCAGGCCTAAGGTGATCCACACAAAAGCCTCACACAGAGCAGCAGAATGGTTCTGAGAAACATGGGACCTGAAGGGGCACCCCAAGCCCTCAAGTCCAGTCTACAGTATGAAACTTGCATTCTAAATTAGTGGTTTTATTCATTTTACTTTTTAAAGTGAAAAGCCCCTATAACACGTGGAACAGACAAAGGAGCGATTTCTGGGCCTGATGTGATCTGCCTATAGCAGGATTTATAACAATGAACTGCTAATTCATACCTCTAACTTCTCAAAAATAGGCCCTGCCCCTTTCAGAATAGATGCATCTCTCAAACATATTGCTCAGAAGTATAACACATTCTTGTCACAGGCAGAGGGTAGTTGTACAACCAGGCATCTTTTTCAAAATGCTGTTAAAATCTAGTGTCTACAGCACACTGCCCTAGGCTACACTGTGACTGACATCAGGCATGCTTCCAGACCCTATAGCAGGGATGGGCAAAATATGGCCCACAGGCCAGATCCGGCATGCCAGCCCATTCTATCCGGCCTGTGGAAACCCTAAAACTTTTTGAAAATTAATATTTATCTGCTCCTGGCTGTCTGTCAAAGAGGACAGGACATGGGGCAGCAGGACCCAGGGGAAGCCAGGCAGGACTCAGCAGCCCAAAAGCAAGGCCCACACAATACACCCAGTCCACACCCCTGTGCTTAGCAGAGCCTTCTGGCCTGGGTCCCTGGGACTGTTTGCCTCTCTGTGCCAGAGAGGGAAACTGAGATAAGGGCAAGAAGGGGGGAGGCAGAGGAGGACTATGGGCAATCGCCTCAGTCCTTGGGGCCAGGCAGCTCCTGCTGAGTCCCACAGTCCAGCCAGGCAGCTGGGAGTCACAAGGTGCTGGAGCAGCCAGCAAGAAAGTAGGGAAATGGCAGTTACAGGCAAGGGGAAGAGGCAGCAAGTGGAAGCTCAGTGACAGCTGGGTGGGAGCAAAGCGCCTGTACTGGTGCCCCAGGGCCAGCGGGGTCCAGAGCGAGGTGGCAGGAGTGCAGCTGTGCTGGAGGGGTGGCAGGGGTGTCATACTCCTGCTTCCCCGTTCTGGTGTCATGCTCCTGCTGCCCTGTTCTGGCCCTCGTCAGTGCTGGCCCTGGGGCACTGGCACAGGCCCAAGCTCCTGGACAGCTGCTGCTGTGCTCCTGCATGCCCGCTTGCTGCCCCTTCCCCCCACCTGTAGCTGCCATTTCCCTGCTTTCCTGCCTGCCACTCCAAGTACTGGGGCCAAAAGCAGGAGGGTGTGTGTGTGGGCATTCATGTTCACAGGGTGTCCCACACAAACACCCCACCATACACATGTACCCACACACCCCATACATGCAGACCCCCACACCCCCCCCAGCTACCTTC